AAAGTGGCGAAGGGTACGCCGCGCCTCTTCCCTTTCAGGGGACTCATTAATTTAAATATAGCGTTGCTGATGTGTTCTTGACCCAACCAACTGCAGATGAGGACAATCGTTAAAGAAAAATTGAAGGCGGGAATAATTGTTTACCCCGAATTCCTCAGTAGAATACTATAACGCCGGGTGCTGCGGCTGCCGACAGGTCCCCCCGCACAACGGCTCAACTCCGCTGGCTGTGTAGACGCGTCGTCCTTCCTTTTTGTGTTCTCGCTCGCTTGAAGGGAAACTCGGTCGGCGGAATGTCCGAAATTGGCCCAGTGAATTTCCAGTCGATTGTCGAGCTGATCTGCCAGGCTTTTCTGTCGGACCGCCGCCACTGAACGACGCGACGCACGGCTCGCCCGTCGGCCTTGGGAGGAAGGAGCATATCGCTGGGAACCAACTCGGGGACTTTAGATACATCAAATCCATGACCAAAATCACTTGACAACTCTACAACTCGGCTGAAATCTGTGGTCTTTTTTTTTTTTTTTTTTCAATTTACGTTTGCTAGATGAGGAAAGCGTATAATGTTTTTTTCTTGTTTTGTTTTTGTTCGTCACACTTCAACCAATTAAAAAGATTGATCGTGATTAAGGCATTAATTGGTTAATCGGAAGGTAAACCCTTTGTGAGGCGCTACCGGTTTTTCAAAATTATTTGTCAAAAATAATTGCTACGTTGTATGTACAAAAAAGAAACCGAATGACATTTTTATTTTCTTCAATTTTATGTTACATATTTATAGTAACCGCACGAAAAGTCAGTGGTACATATTTGTACCACTGACTTTTCGTGTGGTTCATGAAAGTGGTACATATTCGTACTGCCATCTTTTTCGCTCAAACTCAAGTGAATGCGAGGGCGCCAATATGCTTATTTTTTATTGTGGAAAGGTCCGAAACAAGTTACGCACAATGGCACACGTCATTCCTGACACAAGTGGTATGTGCGGGCTTGTTACGTCTTGCAGGAGCACCATCTGCACCGCCTCCTGCTCGCACACCGTTGGGGGTGGTGTTGCTGGCCGACAAGCCTGATCTCTTCAAGGACACCGGTCATTTTCCGACCGTTCGGCTTTCGGTTCTTCTTGCCTTTGTGGCTGTTTCCTGACTGGTTTCTCCTGAGAGTGGTTCCGTCGATCAGCTGGCGCTCAAGGGAAAGACGAAACTTGAGATACGTAGTCTCATTTCCGGAGTGGTACTGCAGTAAGACGTTCACCGCCGCTGCCTCGAGCAGGTAATAAAAAATCCTATGCCATTATTGGAGCGGCGGGCAGCAGCGTAGGTGTTCCGTTTCTGATCAAATCTGTCAGCACCACCCATCCATTGGTTGTAGTCCGCGATCGCTTTCGGACAGCTAACCCCAACGTTCGCACCACTGGAGAGTCTTCTGTTGACCTCGCAGGTCTCGTCTGCAATGTGGAAACTGGACATCATGTTGACGTTGCGGTTGTCCTCCCCCTCGTAAGCAGACACTCTGCCCTTCGCGCTCCAGTTGAAATATCCCTTTTGCAGCTTGTTGTCCGTCTTCACCCCGCTCGGAAGATCTTTGCGGTTGGTGCGAAGCGTCCCAGCTGCGAGCACTCCTTGCTCCGACAGCTTCCCCATGAACTCTGTTGTAGTAAAGAAGTTATCGAAGTACAACTGCGTACCTTCTTTAACACCCCCGCGGATAGTACTAGCATCACATGCTCGCCAAGTCCAAAGTTAGGAGGCTGTCTTAAATCTTTTCGTTCATAAATTTGAAACTGAACAAGACATCTAGTTCAGGAGTCTGCACGGCACCACACCTTGTACCCCCTTTTGATGGGCATGATGGGCATGTACTGTTTGAGAGCAGATATTACCTTTGAATGCAATCACGCTCTCGACCACAGAATGGTGTGTTAAGGGCCGGTAGTGCTCAGCGAATTGCTTGTTTAGAGCCGACACGAGAAGGCGAACCTTGGCAAGCTTGTCGTCACCCTCCTCTCTCTTTTTTTCTTCGTTTCGGTCATTGATATACAGAGTTAAGAATGGCCTGGAACCGCTTGAACGTCATTACACGAGATATCTCAGTGACATTGAAGAAAGGGTCACTACTCCAGCAGAGGTAGACGTGATGAGCTGGATTAAGGACCATCAAGAAGAGCATCCACAAAAAAAGCTCTGACCTCTTCTTTCGTAACGTCATACTACTCTCTTCACATTTTTTGACGAGCATAGTGGTTTGTTTCTGCGACGATTATATCCAGAATGTCGTCAGTGAAGTAGAGTTGAAACGCTTGTCTGGCAGTCATCAGCGCTTCTTTGGAATACTCCTGGCTCCGCGTCTTTAGATTTTCTACGAAGTCTTTGTGATAGCCTGAAGCTGAGCTGATTGGTTATTCATGCTTGCGAGATTTGCCAGCTTAACGAAGGAAGAAATATACAAGATAAGAGAAAGACAAGAAAGAGACCAGCAGAGTGCATGTGTATGTCCCGACTACCTTGTCTTTCTCTATCTTGTATATTTCCTCCTTCGTTCAGCTGGCAAATCTCACAAGCATCTACGAAGTCTTGGGAAGATTACGGCTCCACTCTTGACTGGGGTCCTGGCTCTCCTCTTCCATGTGGAGATTATCGCCGTTGTCCGAGCGATTGCAACGCTTATTTTTACTTGTTCTTTTTTTCATTTCTTTCGCTGATACAAGTGTCCCTTACGTTTCTTTTGTTAAGTGGTAGAATGTTCCGTAGCCATATCCAAATATTCAAGCCCCTCGGCTTCTACTGGCGCCAAGTCAGGATTAAAGTCGTCATCGCTCGAGGTGTCCGCTTCTGCTTTACTAGCCCACGTGTCATCTGACAAGCTGAGGTAGAGATCGGCAGCTTCATCTTGCGTTAGGCTCTATTTACGCAAATATATTATAATCATTACTGGCCGCGCACAAAGTTGCGGCGTGCATAAAAAGAAATCTTATGAGTTAGAGTGAGTTGTGCGTAAATATACATCCCTACTTGAAACGAAAATAAAAATTTTATAAACCATTATGACTTCTATTTTCTAGTTATAACGCAACAGGGAGTTTTAGGAGACCATTTTCGCACTATGATAACGACACCACGGAAATATACGTTGGTTGCTACGTGCCAAACCAACATAAGACATCCACTACGCCCCAACAGAGAACTCAAACTTTACTAGACGGGGGCATTCTAACGTAAAAACAAAAAATCTAGCTAGCGCCGCATCTTCTCCACAATACTCGGTCGCGCTGCGGGCACTTCGCAGCAAGGATCCGTAGCCCGGTGCATTGTTTCGGAGCCTCCAAGGAAACGACGAAACTTAGAGCATCGCTTTCCTAAAGCAAAAAAAAAAAAAAAAAGAAGAAGCTTTACATTAAACGTTTACCAAAACACGTCTTCCTACAAAGTTACACACTGCTCCGTCACTGCACAGGAAACACGCTAGGCTTTTAGCATTTCGGAAGGCTCGTACAGCCGCATGCTGCGTTTTCGAAGTTTTGATCAACCGCCGAGTCCTGCACTCTAAGAAATACCTGCGCGACTACTTAACCGCAAAACACTCGAGGCGCCAATCTCTGCGATCTACAAAATCAGCTCAGCGAATGATGAGGCGGAACATCTGTTTACACTCCAAAATTAAGTCTGCGCTGTGGCATTACGCAATGCAAGCATGACGCTTTGCATTGCGTAATGACACAGCGCAGACTTCATTTTTGGTCTAAACAGATCTTCCCTTTCACCATTCGCTGAGCTGATTTCATAAATCGCAGAGAATGGCTCTTCGAGTGTTTTGCGGTTAAGTAGACGCGCAGGCATTTCTATAGAGTGTATTACACTCTAAGAAAAGCCCGTGCGTCTACTTTCCCGTACAACATTCGGAGAGTCAATAGGGAGTTTTCGTAGATAGTTTTCGCCGTCTCGCAAGGCTCTCCGCAACCCGCTACGATAGCGGGAACTCCACAGTCAAGGCTATGGGCGCGCAGGCGCAGTAGCAACTTCTTCGTTGCGGAACGCTTAGCGGAGGGGCAGCTCGGTCTACGAAAACTCCCTAATCAGCGCAACTTACGGAGACAGCTCAGCGAATGACGATGCCGAAACATATGTTGAGACCAAAAAACGCAGATTTAGTTGTGACATTAAGCAATGTAAAACGTCACGCTTGCATTGCGTCACAACTCGCATGTGACAGGATCGCTGTCCGTCCGTTGCTCGCTTCCATCCGGTAGGGTTTACGTTCACCCGCCTCGCCTTCGCTTAGCTCACGTAAACACTACCGGATGGAAGCGAGCAACGGTGGCAAAGCTACGGCCACATTCCATGCAACCAACCACCCAACTCGCATGTGACAGAGTCACGTGCACCCCACCTGGGTGCAAGTATCGTTTAAACTTTAAACCTTTTATAGCTGGTCATAAAAAAAAAGTCACGTGATGCCCTCACCGTAATCTTTATTTCTTTATATCTTTATTTCTTAATCGCCACTGCCAACTGGTCCTGATCCCGGATTCTCTTCGCCACATCGCATCCAGGCGGTGTTTAATACCTTCAGTAGTCTTCAATAGTAGCAAGCAGAGGGAGCTATTGCGAGGGTTCGATGAGCAGACGAAAAACTTGCCTCCGTATGGCGGGTCTTGGCGCACTGATACGTACGACGGGGCAAATATACCTCGTGGTTTCTAACAGGCTCGTGATTTAACCCGTTGGCCTTTAGCATTGGGCTTTAGTCCATCGTGGGATGAGACGGAGTATAACCGCCCACAAGGTCGAGTCAAATCCGCCGTGTTCTTCCTAACCGGAAACGGAACACGGGCGCGGACCAATGGGAGAGCGTGTTGGCACATCAGTCGCTGTCGTTACTTAGCAAAGCGTTAACGTTAATGGAGGGACTTTATTTGTTGCCAGCTGGGACGAGACACACGCGGGCACAGGTCGACAATGTATCCGTGTCGCTGACCACCTTTTCTCCTGTCCTGTTCGTAGGTTCGACCTGAACGGAGACCACGTGTTGGACTTCGAGGAGCTCAAGCGCATGATGGAGATCCTGGGCGCCCCGCAGACCCATCTGGCCCTCAAGCAGATGATCAAGGACGTCGACGAGGACTTTGACGGGACCATCAACTTCAGAGAGGTATACGCACGAAATAAGCAACGTACGCTTCGCAGCAAACGACACTCCAGTCATCGGATAGATGGATGGATTTTAACGGCTGTACCTTTATAACGGGTGGTCTACGTTGCGCCACCTAGCCTAGAAAGGTGGCGGGTGCTTAAAGCCATGGGGGCCAGTTATCTGGAGCTTTTAGAGCGCAGCTCTTAGGCGCCCGTTTCCGGCTTGAGCGGCGTCGCCGTCGCCGTCGCTTTCGGCCTAACCGCGCGTCGCATTATGGGAAACCTCCCGTAATGACGTCACACACGACGTCACGTGTGACGTCACGAGGGTCCCGCGCATTGCATTATGGGAAACGAAAGATATAGGCCGGTAATTATCCACACATGAAGCCGATCCTCCTTTGTGTATAGGAATAATTTTATCCATTTAATGATACTGTCAGCCCTTGCAAGGCTATTAGAAAAGTATAATGTAATATATATAAAAAAAAATTATGCGCACGCAATAAAACGAAGCAAAAAACATCAATACATACAAACAGAGACAAAAGAAATGATTTAACTTCTCAATTCGTTGACTGTTATCGGAAGTACATTCCTTCGCGGCTCAGGGATTAACATATTGCCAAAATTTTGCTGGGGCTTCAGTAAGAAATCTTTTAAGAGTGATAGTGTAAAATTTTTCCTTTGAATCTTTAACGAGCCTTTTTAGTTCGTGACTCAGGGTTTCACGTGCCATCTTTCTATCGTCACTTGGTCTAAGCGCATTCGCTTTCCGACTTGGCTTTAGTTTTTCTTTTTATATGCATAATTTCCCTAGTAATCCAAGTGTTCTTCTTTCTCGTCGTTTTGACACGTGTAGGCACAAATGAATTAAGGCAGTGGGTTGTGACATCGGCAAAACAATCCCACAAATGTCGCGCTTGCTTACCTCCATCCCACACCGTGCACCATCCTCAGGGAATTCACCGGACAGCATGTGAAGGGCGAGCTCGCATATTCGTTGTATACACTAGCAGATTTAGAGCGCTCACTGTTTCCCCCAGTGCAGTGCACTGTGAACCAAACGCCCATGACCGAAAAATTTTCTATAAATCTAAAAGTGAAGTCTGTGCTGTGAAACTAAGCATGACGTAATCACGTGAAACGTAATGCTCAGTGTCACACCGCAGACTTAATTTTAAGGCCTAAACATATATTTTCGACCTTTTTTTTTCACCGAGCTTCCTTTGTAGATTACGGAGACTGGTTCTCGGAGTGGGAGCTCTGCGAGAAAGCAGTCGTACAGGTATTTTTTAGATTGCTCGCTCAATTATAGGGACCCAGGATATTAAGGTCGACCGACTTTCCTCTACATGTACCTTCATGCGAGTTCAACTGCCTGGTTCTTAGCTCTTCAAACACAAGGAAAAAAATAAAGAAAGAAAGCTGAAGATTCAGACACTGGCAAGCAAGCTCAGTTCTCTTTCTCTCTTGCCAGTTCCTGCTGATCTTCAAGAAGGCTCGCGACGGCGAGCTGTCCATGGACTGCGGCCTGAGCGCCCTCGCGCGGCTCACCAGCATCGACGTGGACGTGGCCGGGGTGGGCGGGGCCAAGGACTTCTTCGAGGCCAAGGTATGGGCTCTGGCCAACCCGGAGAAGCATCGTGAGCAGCAGGTCATTACTGCCCGTCTCTCATTCTCACCCGCGCACCGATGCACCCTGGCACCCCGCGCGACCACTTCACCCAGGACTGGACCTGTACGCGGCTTGCACGCGACGTCATGGCATCGGGCTGGTGGTCGTTCGTACTTGTCCTTGCCTAAAACAACCAACTCGATGCTACGACACGTACACGCTATGAAAATGTCTGAGTTCGCTTTCCTGCAGGACACGACACAACGAAGCACGGCACTCAGAATGCGATTAGACGGAGAATAAGTGCGCAGAGACATTGAGCATGACTTTGCACGTTCTCATTGTTCTTGCGCACGTCGGATTTCTTTTTTTTTTTTGCAGATCTATTTGTATAAACTTCGTAATTTGCTGGTATCATTTCTTTCCTTGTTCGCCATTATTGGCGTGTCTTTGTGTTCGGCAAAAAAGTGAACTCGCGATCGATGTGACGTCAGTGAAAGCCATGTACGCTGCCATCCTCGGAGCTATAAGCCGCACCGCTTGCAAAGCGCCTCGTTCTCTTCGCGGTTTCTTGGTGTCTTGCTATGCAAGAGCCGGCCGGGGAGAGCTCCAGTGTAGCCAGGTTGCAATGGTGGGTGAGAGGGTGGTAGTAAAACTAAGAAGCGGGAAGTAGAAAAAAGAAGAAAAAAAGAGGACATTGATGCACAATTTGTATTATAACCCTCTCGTTCTTACTTTCTTCCAAAGAACCGGAAAACATCGGTTACAATACCAAAATACCAGTAAGATTTTATATCGTCGGTGACAAGTTAAAAAGGGCTCTTTCCCTTCCATAACGCTTCGACCTCTCGCGAGCACGCAAGGCCACAGCACGACGAATCGCAACTTAACTAGGGATGCCGCGAGCTTTTTTCGAACCGAAATTTCGATGATCGCATCAATCGGTTCGAAAGGTTCAAAAAATGCCAAATTTTCGAATTTTTTTTTTTATTTTGTAAAATTCGACGGAAGTCAAATTTTCGAACTTGTTAAACTAAGAAGTTCGACGCTTTTCAAACCGTCGAACTTATTACTCTAAAAACTTCGATCCTTTTCGAACTTTCGACCTTATCACGCTGCAAAATTCGATCCTTGTCGAACTTCCGAACTTGACTGACCAAACAATTCGATGATTTTCGAACTTCCTACGCTAAGGAATTCGATAATTTTCGAACTTATTTATCAAGACAATTCGAGAAGTTTCGAACTTTCGAATCCTGAAAAGTCAGAAGTACGACGAACTTCGATCTTTTAGGGTAAAAGTTCGACGTTAACTTCGAAAGACCGGCAGACGGTTTCATTTGAATTCAAGTAGTGAGGTACATTCGTAATTTTGTTTTCTCGAACTTTTACATGCGGTGCTGCGTTCCTTACGAAAGACAATGCCATTTATTTCTATGTTCTGGCATGCTTAGTTTTAAAGAAATAAATTCCCGAAGGGGCGAGGAAAGACGACGGGTTTTTGACGATTATCGTTTGTGCCATATTTGAAGCGCGCTGTAGCCGAAGCTATTTATGGTAGAGATGTTAAACATTTTAAGAATTATCCATGCATAGCCTAGGTAAGTGTCGTCTTAAGATGGGATTATTGTTATTCAAGGTGAGTTTCGAAGGAATGCCCAAACATGTATCTACGGGCAATTATTCCCTAAACTTGGTATTTATTTTCGTCTAAGTTGTTTGAGGTATCGCATTTAAATTAACACCACAGACAGTACATATAATTGCCATCTGCAGGATACAAAATAATGTATTTATTGTTTTTTTACGTTAAGGAATAAATTAACTCATGGGAGAAGATTTTTAATATTGTTCAAGTTCAGCACGTCATTAAAAGAAAAAAATTTTTTTTTTCGCTTCACGTTCCTGGGACGTGTTTCTTTTAGCCTGTGCACATTTTGGTAGGAGAAACTTGTTTGGAAATTCTGAACCTCTGAATATGCAAGAATACAACAGTTCCGGCAAATTCTTGATATATATATATATATATATATATATATATATATATATATATATATATTACTTTTTATCTCCGCATTTTTTTTTTTTAACCATTGGCACAGTTATTTAGGTCGAAAAGGCACAGCTTTGAACTTCCGAACCACTAAGCATGTCACGAGTAGTGTTTTCTGACAACGAGTTTCTAACAATGACCATCTACGCGATCTTTTATGCAGTGAAGAGCGACAGTAGCTATACATATGCACAAATAATTTCAGATTAAAATAAGCTCGACCACGCCCTGTTTCCCCGTATTGTTTTCTTTAATAGTCCGAAATAGCTGGAAGGGGGAAGCAAAAGGGGGCTCCCCCCCCCCCCCCCCCCCCCCCCCCCCCCTCCGTTTATCCTCTTCCGACGCCACTTGTATGGTAGAACGCTCCTCGACCTCGAGTTGTGTCGGCTTCTGTGCTTTTTGCGAGGCGATTACTCCGTCCCAGAAAATAAACCTCCAGGACAATTACAAACTTCGGAAGCGTTCGATCGAATTACTACCACCATGCAAGGGGTGGGGAGGCAGTTTGCCAGGTCGCTTCAAGGTTTTTCTAAACCTCAACCTCCTGCTGGCCCCTGGCCGTTTCGAACTGGATAAGTATCGTAAGACAGTGTGTTCGTGTGATCACTACTGCGTGATACACGTTAAAGACCTACTGCGTGATGCACGTTAATGCCCCCCCCCCCCCCCCCCCCCCCCCCCGGGATGGCGGTCAATTACTGATCTATGGTCACACGCCACTGCACTGGCAAATATCCCAGCACACCTGGGACACTCGTCGTCTCATTTAATTAATTGCCTGACCAACTTCGCAGAGTCTAAATATCACACCCTAACTTTTCTAAACTTGATTTTGTGGAAGCCAGTAAGCCGTGAAAACATTATTTGAAACTGAAACTGTGGAGGAACTTGAAAACCGGACTTCGATCTTTGAAAACTTGGACTTGAAAAGTATTAAAAATCTTCGAGTTTTTTTTTTTTCGAATTTGGCGTTACAAGAGAATCGACTCCTTCGAACTTTTCTAACTTTATGTAGAAAGAAATTCGACATCTTCGAACTGTTCGATCTTTATGTCTATAAAAATTCAAGGCGCTCGAATTTTTCGAATTTTATTTCTAAAGAATTTCGAAATCTTCAATTTTTTCGATCTTCGAATGCCAAGAAATTTAAATTTTTCGAATATCTCGAATTTCAAGTTAGGAAAGTTCGAACTTCGAATTTATCGAACCTCAAGTAAAAAAACATATTCCAAATATTCGAACCCGAAATTTTGGAAACCGTGAAAGCTTCGAACTTTTCGAATTCGAAACTCCACTGTGATCGAAAGTTACGAATTTTTCGAATTCGAACCTCGATCGGTACGAAAATATCGAAAGTTTTCTGAATCGAACCTCAGATCGCTTCGCAAATATCGAAACCTTTCGAAATCGAACCTAGGGTGGTTCGCGACATCCCTAAACTTAACGGTAACACTCGTTAGGCTGTGACCATTAAGTTACCTCTGCGTGATACTGTAACACCCGGAAAGTGTTACAGCGCTATACACGGTGCATACATGTGCTGTGAAGCCCTGTAACGCCCTAAGCAAGTGTGCGTGCACAGGGCTATACACGGTGCTCAGTGCGTTGCACCGTAACGCACTAAAGCCGCAGTCAGGATACTCGTATGATCATGCAAAAGACACGCTGTTCGCTGCAGCCACGATGACGTCATTATTTGTGGACACAGATTAAGCATGCTTGCTGGACACATGCTCCAAACATTTCTGCGGACAGTTTTTGTACGATTAAAGTGACAGGGCCGTCAGAAAAGGGAGCAGCGTGCCTCGGACACTAGAGAGTTTTAGGGAACCGTTTTTGCACACCCGATACGGCAATATGGTTCTTCCGGTACGAAGTGCGCATGTGCGAGTCTTCTGTGGTGGCGCATGCGCAGTTCGTACCGTATCGGATGCGCAAAAACGGTTCCCTAAAACTCCCTATTGTCTGCACGCTCTCCTTTGTGATTGATTAGCAGTGCCCGACCGGGGTTTAATAAGGCGCGCGTTACAGCGCTATGCTTTAAGTGATTTGACATTGACTCTGACTATGTACTAAGCTATTTGACACTCTAGAAGTCGATTGAACTGATGAGATTCGACACGTGGCGCCTTGTTAGGATTTCCGAGTTTTATTTTTATTGCATTTCAACTTAGTGGATTTAAAGATAAGTTCCGTCGTCTTTTTGCAAGCTCGGTTTCAGCACAACGGCGTATACGAGTTTTATTTTTATTGCATTCCTACTTAGTGGATTTAAAGAGAAGTTTTGTCGTCTTTTTGCAAGTTCGGGTTCAGCACAACGGCGCATTCGGTAGCGCACGGACGCGTTCGACTGCACCGTGGCTTAGACACGGTAAAACCAAGAACCGAAACGTGTGCCCGATGTTGGAAATGGTTATGCAAAATAACGGGGAACCCGGCAGTCCTTGCTTTGCGTTCAATCTCTTCCTGGATCTTGGCAAAAAAGCGCCGTCGAGCGGCAAGGTCACTCGATAAACCATTTGCGTGTGTACGCCTTACTCCCGTCGAAAGCTCGTCTTGCGTGAAACTGGCTTTCAGTCTAAGCTGCAGGAAATAGACCAGGAACGAGAACTCTCTCGTGCATGCATAATCGCACACATGCGGAAGTTACAAGAAAAAGAATAAAAAAAAGGAAGAACGATGACTGTGAATGTACATTAGACGAGGGCGGTGATCTCCCGAGATGCGTTCCTACTAAATCCCCTCGATGTGCGAAATGTGCAAAATCACACGCACGCAAAAACCGATACCTGGTACTCGTATACGGGTGCTTAACAAGGAGGAAAAAAAAAAATGAAAAGCCAAACGGACGTCATTATATATAAATGTTACGTCTCCTAGGAGAGATTTGGTAGGGGTGGGTAACAAGGGTTAATTAATACGGGCAATCGACTTCGGGAAATAAGTAACAGCGTCGGCAGTTAGAGTAGGATTTTGTATGAAGTACTTTCATACTGGTGGGACAAGACTAAGAGCGTCACTGTGGTCGGCGTTCCACGGATGACCAAACATTTACAATGACGTCTTTAGTGGGACTAATGCTGCTTTCATCGACGGAACTAAAAGCCACGCCAGACTGTCAACTATGACGTTAAGAATGCGATTATACTCCGAGCTTCCACCGTGCTTTTTACGGCTCATGACGTCACGGCGAGGCAAATCCTGGTCATCACGTCACGAATAGGAGCCGTACGAGATCACCACCGAAACATTCACGGCGCTAATACCACTGCGAAATGTACGGGCACTTTGTATATTTGCCTATTTGTCATTTCACAAAATATGTTAATCGCGCTAACACGTCCGGCGTCCAGAATATTCGTCCCTTTCCGTTAAAAACACACGCGAAGTGCTCAACAAATGCCCGACGCTTTCCCGTACGGAGCGCAGATACGAGCGGAAACATTCCGTAGCTATCGCTTCTTCTCAAGACGCCAGAACAACCGGTTGTTTAAAAAAGAAGGGGAAAAAAAAGGGGGGGGGGAGATTTCTTTACGTGTACGATGTGGCGCATCGCGTATCCACATACGCAGCGTCTTGAAGAGGATGCGCGCGGAGACGTCTGGAAAAATACAATACATTGCGCTGTTGTGGCACATTAGAAATAGTAAAAAGTAGGTCGATGAGATTTACCAGGAACTGTCAACGAGAGAAAAAAAGTATATACAAGTACACCAGTGTCAGGATATCTGGCACTGTTTCACACTTTGGAGACTCTTCGTTGTCGTTCGATTCCAAAGATCCTGCAGGGAGGACAAGAACTGCAGACCAAACCGATCCACCTTCGGTGTACGCTTGCATTTTTGTCAGCTGCACGCTCTAGAAGAAGCCCGTGCGTCTACTTTCACGCACAACACTCGGAGAGCCAATCACCGCAACTTACGAAGGTAGCTCAGCGAATGACGATGCCGAAACATATGTTTAGACTAAAGAACGGCTCTCTGAGTTGTGACATTAAGCAATGCAAGCGTGACGTTTTGCATTGCTTAATGTCACAACAAACTGCGTTTTTTGGTCTAAACATATGTTTCGCCATCGTCATTCGCTGAGCTGCCTCCGTCAGTTCCGCTGATTGGCTCTCCGAGTGTTGTACGGGGAAGCAGACGCACGGGCTTTTTTTAGAGTGTATACCTACACTCTAAAGAAAAAAAGCCTTTGCGTTATACTTTTCCGCACAACACTCGGAGAGCCAATCACTACAACTTACGGAGGCAGCTAAGCGAATAACGATGTCGAAACATATCTTTAGACCAAAAAACGCAGTCCGAGTTGTGGAGGAGGCATCGTCATTCGCTGAGGCTTTTTTTTTAGAGTGTAAGTACTTATGAGTTGTGAATGCAAAAGTATGCACGTCATTCTTTCGCTCCCTTATTTTGTTTGCAGCGTATTTCCGTCGACGGCAGAGCGCGCCCTCTCCTCGCCGCTATGACCTAGGAAGTTTTGTGTTACCGGCGTGCTGACGGGCACGCAGCGGCATGGGGTGGCGGTCGTTGAAACTGACGCGCAGCGGCCAATGGGAGCCTCATCGACACGCGCCAGCCAATGGGACCGAAGCCGAAATCCATTAGCTTTACTCCGCTCCTTTGGGATCGGGGCAACTATTGGCGCCGTTTGGCTAGGCTTTTCCCGTGGTTTCATAGCTGGGAGCTGGCTTCACTTGGAGAAAGGATTTAAGGTGCCGCTTTGCGCGGCTTCAAAGCTGATAACGTCGGCTCGCTTCATGGGACAGTTAATGCCTTCGCATTAATAAAGCGAAGAAGAACTCGCCCTCAATGATAGTCGTGTTTTTGTAAAGCTCAAGAGCTGTCTCTACTCAGGCGATGACCGAACTGACATGTGTAGACGCGCCAGAGTGAGTCGCCCATTGCGGACCTTTTCTTGTCTTACCGTGCCCCCGCAAACGCCTCTGCTGGGGAGAACACAGTGGCACCTAAAGTGGCAATAACCTGTCCTGCTGTGGTAATGATGAGCTGAAGCGACTGAATGCGAGGAAACGAGAACCGAAGTCGGTTATGGCGGCACCGATGCACAGCTGCCTGAAAGCGTCCATACTGTGCAGATCGAATTCGTGCGGACAGATTGCTGTAATTTAGCATGCCAGTGTAACTGACGGTGCCCATTATTTGCAAAAAAAAAAAAGAAAAAAAAAAGGGATACGAGTACAAAAATAGACATACGACTGGAACAAAATATGTGGCTTCTCTGCAGAGGCTGTAGACAATATCGTTCTAATTGACGAGACGACCGATAGAGGGCAGCAGTCTGGTCTGAAGAAAACCCAAGGATGCAGTTGTGGCCTAGTCTGAACTTCTCTTTTAGATTTACGAAACAATATTAAAATACGTATTATCAACTGTTTGATTTATAGTTGACCTTATATCTCACGTAGCAAAGTTGATCACTGATCAGGTCAAATCGCCTTGTCTTCTACTGTTTCGAACTTTAACGGACGGAGCGAGTGCCCGATTAGCTGTACGTCCTTTCATAGCCGGGGTTATTTATAGATAAAATGTGCTCTGTGTGAACCTGAATGCGTTTCTCGTTATTGAAGTAAAATGTCTTTACTTCAATAACGGGGAATAAGCGTTTTTTCCATCTAGCGCTTAAACGTCCCGTGTGCAGTATGCATTGGCTAAACTCAAATAACAAATCTGTGCTAAAGTAAACTTATAAAATTCATCCGAACCGGTACAGACTTCTGCGCGGTCCACCCCACCGGGAAGTTTCGAGTGTACTATAGTCCGTCACAAAAACAGATGAGTCTTAATTTACACGAAGGGGACGTCGCATCCGCGATACTCACGCCATTTCACATGTGACAGATTACGAGACAAGTCTAAAACGAAGTACGTTTCGTTGTCGTTGACGGGTTACAAAGTTTACGAGGATTACAATTAAGTCTGACTGATGTCAGACTGAACTGCGGTTACGGGTGCCCGACCGGCATCCTAAGCCGCAGTTACACTTAAATATGGTTAAGAGTTACTGTCAACCCTAGGGACACAGGCACCCTTAATTGGAGTTAGTCACACTTAACTCTACGGTGAAGGGTACTCTGTTCGGGGTAACTGGGGTATTTCTCTGTTCGCCAAATAAAACATCAAACTAATCACAACGTTGACAAAAAGGAAGGTGACCCGGTATTTGATCCGAGACGTCAGTCGGTTCCGTCCAGTCAGCGTGTGCGCATGTTTGGCGCAGGCGATGGAGCAGAGTCGGTCCAACAAGTTCGAAGACGAGATCAAGCAGGAGCAGCTGGAGAAGAAGCTAGAGGAGGAGGAGCGCAAGAAGCGGCAGGCGGCCTTCAGGGAGAAGGCAAACTTCTTCAAGAACGCGGCCGCCACTTCGTAGGAGAGACGCCGTCGCCGCCGCGACGTGGCCTTTCGGGTGAGCAATGCCTGCGTGCCTCAGCCTGGGATCACTTCCGATACGCGTAAATGTTACGCGACATTCTCGAAATATTTCTGAGCAGTATTATAAGAATAGGGTTCCCCATTTTCGGGGATTTATATTTTCCTCAAATTCGGGGGTTTATTTTCGGTACCCACCGAAAACACAAAACCCTACAGTTATGCTACATAGATATATAGTGCGTAGGTTTAATCTCCGTAAATGATACAAAATCTTTAGTAATACGCGGATCGTAAGTGTTCCAGCGGTACCCTATAGATGGCGCCAGTGTGTTCTGTCGTCGTAACTCGTAAGCGGTGACGGGCGGTTGTACAAAGAAGTCGGTCGCATACAAACGCAAATCTGTGAACGAGTCTTTATTGACGACGTGCGCGACCAGAAGCGTCGCGGTGGTCGCAATTTGCGATTGAACAAACGCTCGCATCTTTATTTGTATTTTTTTCTTTCATCGGTGGAAATAGCCGTAGTGTCAAAGTTTCAACTATGATGACGTTGGTTTAAGAATGAATGCGACGACTCCAAGATTCCATCGTTATTTTTACACGCACCATCGAACTTGTAGATAGTCACTGATGTTTAGTAGTCTATATAGTAACTTACGACGTCACGGCGAGGCAAATTCTGATCATGACGTCACGAACGGAAACCATAAGAGGGCGCCACCGAAACATCTCTGCGTTGATAGTCTGCTGCAGCTGCTGGAGCGTAAGAATTGTCCAGGGAGGCTCCGCTCCCAGTTCCCGGGGAGAAATGGCGTCACTCAAAGCACCTTTACAAAGCCGCAGGGCTCCATTTTCTGCACCGAATGCTGGCGCGAGGCATACTGGACGAGTGCCCAGTCAGCGTACGGCTGACGCAGCACTTGTGGAACCTCGAGCTCGCATTTCACGGCTATTGCGACATAAATTTTACCGACTATAGTTCAGATGTACCAAGGGTCAATGATGAAATATAGTAAGGTAATTAACGTTAGCACAGGAAGCCGAACCAGTCGCAAGTGCCAGACACTATGACGTGGTTCTATAAATCACGCCCGCAGAGCTAAGTACTTTATCGATTTTTGTTTACTTACAAGCTTGACTCTCGCGCCGGTGCCTGTTCTAGCGCTGCACATCGTGTTGTGAGCTCGTTTCATCTTTAGCCGTATCTACCAAAAACCAAAATAAAAAGCTTCTTGATCCGGTGCAACGTTAAGCGCGAAACACATGTACGACGAAACCGTCCGATCCGACGTCCAATCAGGCAATACGACGGTCGGAGGCGAGGGTTTTCAATGCTCTCCGGTGCTACGAAAACCCTCGCCCCCGAAGGTCATTCCGGCAGTTCGCACGTCGGACCGGACGGTTTTGTCGTACATGTGTTTCACGCTTTAGACATCGCTAAAGCAGTCGGCCAGGATAAGTGGCGAGACCTAATGTCGCAGAAGGGTGACTTACCTGGCCTGAACCCTGGGTGTGAAATGGATGCTCCTTATTCATCTCTGAAAAGAACCCTACATCCTCGAAGCGTGCCATCCCTATAGCACATTACTGTGCACATCTTTCGATTGACGATGACAGACAATATATGGACTCATGCAAGGTTACAAAAACCTCGTTAAGAAATACAGCCAGAGTTGCAAAAAATCGCACCATATTGCAGCCCTCAAGGGTTGTTCCTTAGCCTGCAAGCTAATGAATACTCCTAAATCGGAGCAAAGTTGCAGATACGGGAGTGCTAAAAGTTTCCCATTTCTTTGCAGAACCAAGCCATCAAAGCCTGCAGTGGACCAATGGAATGGCAAGATGCGCGATGTCAAGCCCGCGTGTTTCATTTTAGTATCAATCTTGAAAGAAACTATTTTCTGATGACTTATTTCATGAAGTAATATATTTGAAGAATCCTATAAATGTAAATACCTATACATGTACATAAAAAAGAAAAAAAGAAGCAAATGCTGTGTCGTCATTGTCGCATCTACTTTATTGAACAGAACATTTACAATATACAGATAGCATCATAGATGACTTGCCTTCCAGTAAAACTGGTGAACTGCTCTAGGCTCTGGTCCCCAGGTGAACATTCTGGATGCAAACCTCATTTCTGCACATTTCTTTTTTTTTTTCTTTTCTTCTTTTTATATATGTGTCGTCATAAGGCACTCCGAAGTCTGAACTGTGAAAACATAGCAGGTGAAAACCTGTGCAATAAGTGGCTAGAAACTTTGTACTGCAGTAGCAATCAGTTGCTTTGCTGCCTCCTTAAAACCCATCCTGCAAAAGCTAGATCACACTGTAATCAGGAGCATAATCACAGACTCCTGAACTGAGAAACAAGTACCCATGTCACTAGCAGCTACACACTCCCCCGAGAACTTCAATTTATTTCAACAATTTCCTCCCAAAACCACTAACTGCTGCTTTTAATGAATTTTCTCTTAAAACCATTTTGAACTGTGGCATTCAGTTCAAATATTATCACAACCCCAGAACAGCCACTTATCTAATAAATTATCCCCTAAAACCGCTTTGAACTGCTGTTTAACCAATTTCATCCCAAAACCAAACAGTGGGAAAAGTAATTTGGCAGCATAAAAGAACGGAGCAAGATCTACAACTTCTTCGAAATTGCAAACGTTCGATAAAACAGTGAATATGGTCCTAAAATTCTTCAAGACACCCAACAGAAAAAAGTACAAATCTTTGGTTCCCCAGGTTCTCTCCCCATCGACCCAGCAACCTCCTCTCCCTCCTCCCGCAGACTCCATACAAGGCGGATGCGTGGAAGCCACTGCGACGACATCGAAAACATAAACGAGCGGTCTTAATTCGAAATAATATTAGCGTACCAAACTATTTACAGTCACGAGCCTCCTGTCCTCCTCTCACTGCTCATCTATGTACAAAGAGTGTAGTGGTCGCACTCTGTGCGCACACATGCACACACCACAGTCCCTTCCCTTAGTGTTCTGCACTGCCAAGACAATGTTACTGCCGCTCTTGGGTGCAGCATACGTGGCACTGGTGACGACCTCAGACAGAGGCGCTGTTGACGGCGAGACGTAGCTTCATGGGAGTGTCCGTATAGGTGTTGCTTGCTGCTGTCCGCTGAGTCAAACAACACAATGTGGCGAGCCGACTGATAACTGACCAAGCTCACCGCATCACACCCAATGAACCAGCAGCCAATTAGAAGCGGATCACTCGGTGTCACACGAGGTTGGGAGCACACCGGCGGCCGATTGGAGATCGCTTGTCCGGCAAACTGTCAACTGATCAAATGACTATCACTGTATCACGGCGAACGAACCGGCAGCCAATCGGAAGCGTATCACCCGGTGTCACATGATGTGGCGAGCGCAGAAGCAGCCAATTAAAGACTGCTTGTTTGCCATATTATGTGAAGTGATGAGCGCAGCAATGGTCAATTAGGCGGTTCGTTCGCCATGCGACCTGAAGAGAGCATGCTGACGTCCCATATCCCGCCACCTTCCGCCCGAGGATGTCAGATCTCAGTCCTCGTCGAGACAGTCTGGCCGGTAGACGGTGGGTGAGAGCATGTACACGACGGCCTCGTAGGTGGCCATCATGATAGCGGTGTTGGGAATTTGCCGCACCAGCTGGGTCGCCAGGCCGCGGTAAAGGCCCTGGTAGCCCTCCTCGCGCCACACCAGCAGCAGCGTCTGGAAGAATGACTTGTACTTGTTGCCCTCCTGCCGTAGCCTTGTCCTCGCCACCTCTGCGGGAAACAGATAAAAGGAAAACATGTTGAAGAAACTTTGATCCCATATAAAACCACAGTTCCCCATGCTACCAGTTCAAAGGCTATCAGTTCAAAGGCTACCAGTTCAAAGGCTACCAGTTCAAAGGCTACCAGTTCAAAGGCTACCAGTTCAAAGGCTACCAGTTCAAATATTACCAGTTTGAACGCCGTCAGTTCAAACGCCGTCAGCTCAAGCGCCGTCAGCTCAAGCGCCGTCAGCTCAAGCGCCGTCAGCTCAAGCGCCGTCAGCTCAAGCGCCGTCAGTTCAAACGGTGTCAGTTCAAACGGTGTCAGTTCAAACGGTGTCAGTTCAAACGGTGTCAGTTCAAACGGTGTCAGTTCAAACGGTGTCAGTTCAAACGGTGTCAGTTCAAAAGTTGTCCGTTCAAAAGTTGTCCGTTCAAAAGTTGTCCGTTCAAAAGTTGTCCGTTCAAAAGTTGTCCGTTCAAAAGTTGTCCGTTCAAAAGCTGTCCGTTCAAAAGTTGTCCGTTCAAAAGTTGTCGGTTCAAAAGTTGTCGGTTCAAAAGTTGTCGGTTCAAAAGTTGTCGGTTCAAACTTCAGTTCTATCATAATGTCAGTTCTATCATTTCAAATGCTATCAGTCAAAATGCTATCAGTTCAAATGTTATTAAGAGCAACATTTTTCTTTTTGTAAATTTACATATTTATTTTCAGTTCAGTTCAGTTTGTTTATTTCTCTCCAAACAAGGGCAAGAAGGGAGGTAGAGAAAAAAGCTGCCATTTCAGCTTGACGAGGCCTCTACCTCCCTTTACGGTACAGCACAAAACAGGATATCTGCAAATGCACATGCACAACCAAACAAATCCATAATAAACACTTGTACCATATTTAACGCAATTGAGAAAAGAATACTAGTAACACCAAAAAGGACTTTTTCACATTTTGTTCCTCATTTACAAACAATATCTCTCCACCAGGATTTTTTAAATATTTCTCTCGAAAATCGGAAAGGAACACTGAAAGTTTACCTTTTCTTCAATTTTGTTTAACAAGGAGAAACTTGATAACCCAATTGTTGCCCGACATAATTGGTTCTTACTTTAGGCTTTTTCCAGATATTTATTCTCAGTGCACGTTCTGAGCTAACATACTTTGGAATTAAGTATAGCTTTTATTTTTGGATAAGTTGAAGTAACTTAAAGTAATATATTTTATTAGCCTTTAGAGCTCTGATCCACAAGAAGACAGACTGGTCACAAATTCCAATCATTTAACTTTTCGTTGCTTGCAGACTGCTGACAATACTTTCACAATTGACCAAAGCATGCATGACACAGCAGAAGGCAAAAAGAACTGAGAAATTAAGAAGGAAAGAGGCCAATTTATAATTCACTAGATCAGAATAAGAGCAAAGTAAAGTATCAATATGTAATAATGTATGGCTGTATATAGGGAACAACTGATGATGGCAACTACCACTTAGTGTGCTAGGAAACTTTTAAAAAAGGAAAAGGAATGAATTTTCGATGTATGCAATAATTTGTACACAGGAAAGGCACACCATGTGTAATAAATAATATCCACAAGGACATCTCTGCTAAGGTTTCCGAGAGTTGTGATGATTATGCCTAACAGCAATGATGTCATTTCAAAGCATTTTTAGGATCAACCAAAAGTTCAGTTTCAAGCAACAAAAATAACTGTTGTAGCAGAACCATTTTTTTTTTCATTCGTATCATTACAAATAATTTTTCTAAAATTAATACATTAGCCTTAAACGAAATGATAATGCCTTCTACACTTGTTGTCTTCATCAACCAATCATTAGCATCTGCTATACAGCAGACACTAACAGTTTAATACCCTTATGCACAACTGTTGTGTTTGAAAGCACTAGACAAGGCAGCAAGAATACTGTAATATGAGCCATCCTTTTTGTTTAGAAAAGCCCCACTGCAGCGGCCAGAGTTGAAACATAGGTTGATTAATGACTGATCTGGCGCGAGAATGTGCAAATAATTCCAGATATGCAATGAAAGATAAACCAAATGGTATTTCACTGAAACACTGTTGAAATAAAAGATTTGAAGTACCAAATTTAATGTTTACGTTAAAACTCTAAAAGTCGCAATTAAACTGTGCGATTCTTGTGTGATGCAATAAAACTGTGTGGCAATGAAACCTTTGTCTTTTAATTACGCCCATCAACAGTATTTTACGTGTATAAAAAAAGGTAATAGAAAAATCCCCATACAAGTGATAAATATGCTTTCTAAATAGCAACTCAGTTAAAATTATTAAACAAATCACATGCTCCATTTGTCCACTGTTAACATTAATTTAATTTTAAGTACACTTTATTTACTGACAACCCTCAAACAGGTCTACATACAACTGTTAAGTAAGTAAAAAAAAAAAAAAAATACAAATTTTTGTAATGCAAATTTAGAGCACGGCTCCTGAGGAGGAGGAGGGGAGGGTATGCACCCCTCCTCCGTACCCTCCTCCTCCATAACTTCCCATCCTCCTCTGTACCCTCCCCTCTTCACACAGTTTCCCCGCAAAATTTAGCTGGAAAATTGACGCCATGTGACCTCAACACAAATTCAGTTTCCGGACTAAATTTTGTGGGGAAAATGATGTCACATGACCTCAACAACAATTCAGTTTCCTCGCTAAATTTAGCGGGGAAAATGACGCCACATGCCTTCGTGTCATGTCAGCCAAGAACAAATTCAGTTTCTCTGCTAGATTTAGCGGGAGAATTGACGTTACGTGACCTAAACATGAATTCTATTTCCCGCTAAATTCAGCGGGGCGGTTACGCCGACGGCGACGCCGCTATACGCGGAAACGGAGGCCTAAGAGCTGCGCTCTAAAATAATTTGACCTATAGTGCAGCCAAGCTATTTGTAACCAAGACTAATGATGCACACAGTTCTTCACGATATCGCAGCCTAACATATACTGCCGCATAATAGCCGCGGTGTGGTTATATCCTGAAACTATTACCGAAATAGGTGTCGTTACACCAACATCAACGAAGTTCCATTTTCGTAAGCACCCAACGCGCGCGCGCCCACCATCCTTGCTCTGAAGTTCTTTTTCCCCCCCACACACGCCGCTGCGCTGCGGCGAAGCGAGACATGCCGGATCGAGGAGGCGACTACGCCGGCGTCTCATCCCCGCGCTGTCCGCAGTACCCCGGTGCTCGGGTAAGGAGCGCAGTCGACGTCAGACAATTGCCGCGACCTGGCATAGTTAAGTAAACTAAACAGGTTCAGTAGGACAGAATCACCAGAATCGCTGCTTTCAGCCTTTTCGCTCCCGATTTTGCTTTGATACTAGCAATTTAAAGTTCAGAGTCGGATACACGAAGGGATGCCTTTGAACATACAGTGAATGTGAGAAATTTTGTCGAACTTCCAACAGATGACACAAGGCAGTCTCTACTTAAACAATGTTGACTTCACATCTGGGTCTTTGTTCACCAAGCCGCGAAACGATGGCGCCACCCATTGACGCCGCCTGAAACGTTGTCGCGGGGCGAGAGTGGATCGGCGAAGGTCCATTTCCACACGCCGCCAACAGATGTCGCCACGTGAATCTTTTGCCGCTTTCGCCAGCGCTCCGTGGCTTCAAGAGTGTGCGTGTGCGTATATGTGTGTGTGTATATATATATATATATATATATATATATATATATATATATATATATATATATATATATATATATATATATGACTTATTTTCTCTTCGGAACTTAAATGGGGCAACCATATCGATTACATAGTAAGCAGAGCCGACAGCAAATTATGGTATTTAAAACGAATCTTGAAAGGTGCTCCAGTCAACCACTACACTGCTCGCTTATAAGGTTTTCATTCGTTCCATTCTTGAATATGCAAAAGTTGTATCGGACCCGTTTACGCGCAAAAAAAAAAAAACAAAAAAAAAAAAAACAGACAAATTAGAAATGGTTCAGAGAAGAGCACTTAGATTTGTGTTCAACAAATTTGGGCGTAACCATTCCCCTTCAAAGCTGATGTGTAAAACTGATTTAATACACTTGCAAACTAGAAGAAAAATAGCCCGCCTTAAAACCCTCTTCCAAATCATCAACCAATCCATTAAAATTCCACAGGACAAATACGTAACTTTCGCGACTAGAACAAATACCAGATTTACAAACTCGAAAACGATTATTGAACACCGGTCCCGGATTGATTCCTTTAAATACTCTTTGTTTTGTTTTTTTCACGCACAACATCGCAGTGGAACAAGCTACCTAGGCGTGTCGTTGACTGTGATAACCGTTCCTCCGTTTTTAGACTAACTCGCACCTTATGTGTAAATAGGTTGTTTGGTAGCGGGAACAGCACTTCAACTATAATTACTTCATCGAAATTGACGTTTTGTTTTTATTGGTGCTGCGGGACCTTGAATTTAAGTTTGTGCATGTATTGTCATACAGTTTTCTTTTTTACAACGTGCTTCGAACCTTGCCTTGTCTGATTTCGGTTCTTATCTGTATTTCGTATCATAGCGTTGGAATGGAACGTGACTGCGTTGTCTTATCACTGTTCACTCTGTGTTGATTTGTGCCACTCCTATAGTATTCCTTTCAACTTCCAAGGAATAATAGTATTGTTAATATATATATATATATATATATATATATATATATATATATATATATATATATATATATATATATATATATATATATATATATATATATATATATATATAGAGAGAGAGAGAGAGAGAGAGAACCGACGTTCAATTTGTTTGCGCTTACAGTGTCGCGCAGTGTACCTTAGCCGCTCCCGATTTTGTGCAGAAGTTAGTCACTTGAGTCGAGGGTGCTGTCAAAAGTCAAATTTGGGGGTTTTACGTGCCAAACCTACGACGGGCATCTGGCACGCCCCAGTGGAGGACTGGGGATTAATTTCGACCACCTGGGGATCTTTTGACGTGCAACCGAAAGCTCGGTTACACGGCGCCTTCTCCG